CCCCCATCACCTCATCACCATGGGCACTGACATCTTCTAAGGACTTAGAAGATTATCCTGACCATCCTTCAGTCTTGGGTTGGTCTCAGCTCTTATTCTAGCCTTGACTCTTGATTAGCCAGTGGAAAAATCTCAGCAGGCCCCTGTGTCTTATGATGAGAGGCACACCCTCCACACTCCCACCCTGTCTCTCTTCTCCAGGGTAATCCCCAAGGGTCTCTTTCTACTAATAAAGCCCCCTCCAATGTCCTTGATCTTATGGCCCCCCTCTAGCCCCTGACTGAGCAACCTCGATGAAGTCACTTATTTCTCTGTGCCCCTGTCCTCAGAGCACTCTGGGCCATAGGACAGAAAAAAAGAAATCTCTTTCTTGGGAAGTAAGGAGAAGGTCAGCCAGGACCTGGGCAGGTCCTCACCCATGGAGCATCAGGTAGGCTCTGACAGCTGTGTTGGGCCTCAGGACGTGAGGATGCCTGGCAGGCCTCAGGCTTGGGGAATGAGGAGGGCACGGATTCTCTATAACCCTCTAAAGCTGTCCTCCTTGGCATAGCCTACCCCTGTCTCAGGCCTGGTGCCACTGCCTTTCCCTCCTCTCTCTACTCCTCGCTTCACACCTGTAACCACCACACTGAGCCACACGCAGCTCTCACAGCTCCACACCTGGCCCACACTACTCCTGCCAGGAATCTCCTCTCCTCATCATCAGTCCAACTCCAGTTTGTCCTTCAGAATTCAGTCTAAGAATCATATCCATCCGAGGGCCTTCCTTGAAGCTCCCAGGCTGGGCCCAGAGTCTCTGCCTGAGTGCATGTAGCGCATGCTAAGTAAAAGTTAATTTAAAACCACTTCCTTGAGGGAACAGTATGCTTTGTCTCAATTCTCTGATAAAGACCCATGTCTGGCATAGCTTCTGATACATGTGGAGCTCAGCAATGGCCTGAAGAATTAGTTGAATGAATGAATGATTGAAAGAATGCTAAATAATGAATGAATAATCCCTGGCATTCATTCTCAAAAGTAGAGCAAGAGACCATTTTTCATCTATTTGATTATTCTGGGGATTTTTCCGAGCACTAGACTTGAAGAGATAAGCAAAGATTGGAGACAGGATGTTAATTCTGACACTATTTGAAATAGTAAGAAGTTGGAAAGAATCTAATGAAAAATCAACTAAGGGACTAGTTAAATAAATTATGGAACATTCATGCCATGGACTACTATGTAGCCATTAAAAAGAACATGAGGGTTCATACATTACTGGTGGGAATGTAAAATGGCACAACCACTGTAGAAATGTTTGGTAATTCCTCAAAATGTTAAACATAAAATTACCAAATGACCCAGCAATCTACTTCTAGGTATTTACCCGAGAGAAATGAAAACATATGTCCAAATAAACACTTGGAAAAGAATATTCATAGCAGCATTTTTCATGATAGCCAAAAGTCGATTGACTGATGAATGGATAAAATATGGTCTGTCCATAGAATGGAATATGATTCAGCCATGAAAAGGAATGAAATACTGATAAATACTACAATAGGGATGAACCTCGAAAACAATGCTAAGTGAAAGAAGGCAGTCACAAAGAGTCATATATTGTATGAAATGTATTTCATGTATTATATGAAATGTCCAAAAGAGGCAAATCTATATAGAAACAGAAACTAGATTAGTAGCTGCCTGGGGCTGGAGGGGTTGGGGTGATATGGGAGTGAATGCTAATGGATAAGGAGTTTCTTTTGGCGGTGATAGAAATGTTCTAAAATTGACTGTGGTGACGGTTGCACAACTCTATGAATATACTACAAACTATATTTTAAGACATATTGTTGGGCATCAAAATTATGTTTCAGAATAACAAGTATAACATGTTCTATTTCTGGGGGGAAAGGGAAGGAGGGAGGGAGAGAACTATTTTTTTTTTAAGATTGTATTATTTATTTGACAGAGAGAGAGAGAGCACTCACAAGCAGGGGGAGCAGGCAGAGGGAAGGGGAGAAGCAGGCTCCCCGCTGAGCAAGGAGCCTAACGTGGGGCTCGATCCCAGGACCCTGGGATCATGACCTGAGCCAAAGGCAGACACATAACTGACTGAGCCACCCAGGCGCCCTGGGAGAGAGCTATTATTATAAACATAAAAAAGGGGCGCCTGGGTGGCTCAGTCAGTTATGCATCTGCCTTCGGCTCAGGTCATGATCTCCAGGTCCTGGGATGGAGTCCCACATCGGGCTCCCTGCTCAGCGGGGCGTCTGCTTCTCCCTCTTCCTCTGCCTCTTCCCACTGCTCCTGCTTTCTCTCTCGCTCTGTATCTCTCTGTCTGAAATGAATTTTTAAAAAAATTGAACATAAAAAAGAAGTCACTGGGGAGCCTGGCTGGCTCAGTTGGTCGGTAGAGCGTGTGACTCGATCTCAGGGTTGTGAGTTTGAGCCCCACGTTGGGTACAGAGATTACTTAAAAAATAAAATCTTTAAGGGGAGCCTAGGTGGCTCAGTCAGTTGGGCATCTGACTCTTGGTTTCGGCCCAGGTCATGATCTCATTGGTGGTGGGATCAAGCCCCACGTTGAGTCCCCTGTTTGGGAATCCATGCTCAGCAGGGAGTCTGCTTGAGGTTTCTCTCCCTCTGCCCCTCCTCCCTCCACTTGCACGTACACTCGAGCGCGCTCTCTCTCTCTCTCTCTCTCTCTAAAATAAATAAATCTTAAAATAAAACAAAATAAAATCTTAAAAAAAAAAAGAAACCATTCACAGGAGTTACCTCTAAATGATCAGATTCATGGATGGGGGGGTTCCTGTTTTATTTTATATGCTGTTTACATTTGTCTTTATACTGTAAATATGATCTGTTTTTAACTTTTTTTTTTTAGATTTTATTCATCTATTTGACAGAGAGAGAGCAAAGGCAGTGGGAGCCACAGGCAGAGGGAGAGGGAGAAGCAGGCTCCCTGATGAGCAGGGAGCCCGATGCAGGGCTCGATCCCAGGACCCGGGATCATGACCTGAGCTGAAAGCAGACGCTTAACCACTTAAAGACTGAGCCACCCACGTGCCCCTTGACCTTTTTTTTTTTAAGATTTATTTATTTACTTGAGAGAAAGAGCACATGCATTTGGGGGGGGTGTAGGAGGGGTAGAGGGAGAGAGAGAGAGTCTTTTTTTTTTTTTAAAGATTATTTATTTGAGAGAGAGAGAATGAGAGATAGAGAGCTCGAGACGGAAGAGGGTTACAGGGAGAAGCAGACTCCCTGCTGAGCAAGGAGCCTGATGTGGGACTCGATCCTGGGACTTCAGGATCATGACCTGAGCCGAAGGCAGTCGCCCAACCAACTGAGCCACCCAGGCGCCCAGAGAGAGAGAGAGTCTTAAGTAGACTCCCCGTTGAGCACAGAGTCGGATTTGGGGCTTGATCTCAAGACCCTGAGATCAGGGCCCTGAGATCACCACCTGCATGGAAACCAAGAGTCAGCCGCTTAAGTGACGAAGCCACCCAGGAGCCTCTGCTCTTGACATTTTTTTTAAAGATTTTATTTATTTATTTGAGAGAGAGCAAAAGTGAGAGAGATCACAGAGGGAGAGGGAGAAGCAGACTCCCCGCCGAGCAGAGAGCCAGACCCGGGACCTGATCCCAGGATCCCGGGATCATGACTCAAGCCGAAGGCAGATGCCTAACCAACTCAGCCACCCAGGCGCCCCATGCTTTTGACATTTCTAAACAAGAAGGAAGCTGAAAGCATGTGGAAGCCCCACTGATGTCTTGTAAATTAGGACCTAGAGCCCCCTGGCAGGCATGTTGGAAGCAAGGGGATCCCAGGAGGCAAGAGCAGGAACAAGAGACGGTTACACAGCTTCTGGAACGTCTGAGCTGCACCTGCGTGGTTTTCTCAGAGGGAAAGCAGAACTTTAGACCTAGGGCCCTTTTACCTCTGATCCCAGGCACAGCCAGGAGCGTGTCCTGGGACAGAAATTGTCTAGGTATTGCCTAGGTGAAAATTTTACACCCACTGAACGTAGGGTCCAAAAGGCAAAAAGTACAGCAAGTACCCTGCAGAAAAGCCTCCCTCCCCCCAGCCCTCCTCCCTGAAGCAACCAGACACCTCTCACTCATCTAAATAGCTGCACATTGTACACGCGGCTCTCTCTTAGTCTTGGACACCAGTCCTTAAGTGTATACAAAGTGTATACACCTCCTTCACCGTAGAGTCTCACAGTACTCTGTGATGGGGTCCCCGTTGTGCGGGAGGTCACTCTGTACTAATCAGCCCCAATTAGTGGACACTTAGACTGCTTCTGAACTTTTTTAAAAGAAGTCTCCACGCCCAACATGGGGCCAGAACCCGCGACCCCGAGATCAATATACCAGATGAGTTTGTGCCAGTCTAACAAAAAAGCTCCCATTTCCAGACATTTTGAGTGTGAGATTGTGGCTGAGGCCCTGAGGCTTTGTGGAGTTCCGTGCCGAATACTGCAGTGAGGAACTTTGGACACATGGAATTTTGCAAGTCTATACGGCCATGATAGGATACGTTTCTAGAAGTGGAGATGCTAGGTCATAGGCTACATTCATTTATAATTTCCATAGATGTTGCCAGAATAATGACCATTGTTTCTCTTTGCCTGTGAGCTGCTTAGCTTTATGATTTTCCGAACACTCACTTGTGTCTGTTAACTTCAGGGCCATGAAAATTCTTCCTTCCTCCCTCCCTCTCAGCCGGCACAAAGCTAGGGCACTCAGTCTCTGGCCCTTGGAGGGACAGCCAGGGAGCTGAGAGCATGCAGGCTTTGCCGTCAGAGACAGAGGGCAGCCCTCTTCATCTGGTGTGACCCTGTATCTGTCTTGTCCTCAGCTTCTGTTTCCATCTCTGTAGAGAAAACCTGCCTCCATGATAGTCCCTCCCAACTTGCCCACCAACCCGCACTCTTCTCCCCTGCCCGCCCCCAGGCCTAGGACCTGGGCTTTGCCCTCTTCCCCAAAGGAAGAAGAGTCCAGGCCAACAGAACGAAAGGTCCACAGGCTTTTTAATGGTGTGATGGCTACTTCCCTTCCAAGACCCAATCTAATCATGACAGTGGCTTCCAGGGTGTCAGGGTGGGGGTGGGCAGGGGCAGGGTATGGGCAGAGGCCATGCAGTGACTGGGAAAAGGTGGGGGAGGGTGTTACATTCTGTTTGGCGTGTAAACATTCTTCAGTGGCTTCCCTGGGGGAGGGGGAGGGCATCTTCCTGCCCCCCACTCCATGCCCGCCAGGGCTGATCCCCGGAGTTGAGAAGACTGAGCCAGGCCCCAGTGAGGGGCTGGGAAAGGGGGAGCCCATGTACCGGGGGCACGACCCTTCTCCTGCACCCGCTTCGTGCACAGTGTGGCTTGGGAGGGGAGGCATGTTCTGGGGGTGAGCAGACCTGCATCTGAGCCAATGACACAGGCTGTGGCGATGAGGAAGTGCTAGAAGGGTGAGGTGGTGGTGGAGGTGGTGGTGTGACACTCTTTTACAGGGAAGGGGTTCAGGACCAGGAGGGCTTGGTGGAAGGGATGGGTGCTCGAGGGGGAAGAGGCTGCAGCTGGGGGTGGGGACACTGGGAGGTGTGGTTTCCTCTGCCCTGGATCCTTCCTGGGGAGAGGAGCAGAGTCAGTCCCCTGGTCCCCTCCCACACTCACCCCTTCCCCTCCTCCCCCACCTTGGTGACATTCAATGACGCAGAGGCCTGAGGTCAGATGGGAGCCCTAGGGAGGTCTGGAATCCCAAGAGCAGACAGGGTTTTGCGTCTCTGCCCAGCTCCAGTGTTGGGTGAAGCTGGGGGTGGGATAGGTCTGGGGCTCTCTCAGGCAGCCCCCTTTTCCTCCCAACACCATACCAGGGTGTTGTTGGTCCTGGGGCAGGGGTGAAGCTGGGGGCCCTACATTCACGGTTCGGTTGGTGGCAAGGAGCAGGCCCAGGACCTGGGCACCAGGGGTCATGCCCTGGTCCCCACCTGGCACAAGCTGATTGTCATTCGGAGAAGCTCTAGGTGGGAGGGAGTGGCCCCTCTTCCACCCCCTCTGCTGGACCCAGAGGGCAGTAGAGGCCTTGGGAGGGTCTCAGTTGACAAAAAGGGCTCTGTCCGGAGAGGTTTCCTGAGTGTTCTGGGAGCTTCTGCGTCAGCATGAGATGGACCTCGAAGGCCGTCCACCCTGGAGTCCTCCCCTGGGCTGGTTTGCAGAGGAACCACCACCTTGGTGTGGAAACAGCTGCCCAAGCCTGCTGACTCTCCAAGAGGGGCTTCAGCTGGCACCACCAGACTGCTTCCAGAGCCAACTTCCTCACCGGCGTCCTTCTAAGCGATGGTGGCTGGATGCTGCCAGACCACTGGGGCATGTCGGGGCCTTTCCTCCTCTTCCCCGGTTTGCCTTGCCTTGCTCTCTGGGAACCAGAGAAGAACAGAGGGGCCAGGCCAGGGGACAAGAGGCTGAGGGTGCTGAGGATGGAGGAGGCCTGTAGGGGACCTGTCCCAGATAGAGTTGGCTGTCCCTTCCGCAGCCAGTGTGCTGCTTGGCCCAGATGGAGGCAGTTGAGGCTCATGATGAGGTGGGATGAGCCATGCAGGAGCCAGACCCAGGAGGAAGCCCCATTTCCATTCATGGAGCAGCACAGCCCTCACCCTCTGCAGGGACAGCTCAGCTGCATGGATTGGGGTTAGTACAAGAGGGGACAGGCTGAAGCCTTAGCTGGGGGAGAAGGGGACTTGGGCCGGACCCATCACACAAGCACACAATCTGGAAGTTAGAAGGGCCTTTCTGCCTTGAGTCCAGGGGCCAGCTCTCTGTCTGCCTGTTTCTGCTCTCTCTGCCCACTGGGGGGGATAATGGTCTGATCCAGCCCCCTCTCCACCCCCAGGAGGACAGAAAGGGTGACCCGACCTGAACTGAGTCCCTGAATCTCTAAACGGCCAGTGCAGAGAAGATGAAAACCAGCCATTCTCCACCTCCACTGAACTCAGGAGAGAGGGAAGTCGGCTGAAACTGCAGCAGGCAGGATTGAGGTTAGATGGCAAGAAGGAATTCCTGGTGGTGAGGGGTCCTGAGCGCTAGATCAGGAGGCCAAGGGAGGGGGTGAAACCTTTTTTAAAGCCCTCCTCCAACTTCCCACTGGGAAACACGTGCCCAGGAAGGCAGCCCACACACACAATATGGTTCCCACTGAGGACCCACCCAAATTTTGGGGGAGGAGGACTTTGCACCCTAGGGGTGCAGGAGAGCAGCCCCCCAATCATCTGCCCACTGTCTCCCACAGGGGTGTCCAGGATGGAGCTGACTTTGGGGCTGGTCAGACCTGCCCCCTCACACCTGAGTAGACCAATGGCCCCTAGGTCCCAGCTCCCTAACCCCAGCCTGGCAGCTGAGAAGAGGGCTTTTGGACCACCACAGCTCCCAGGAGATTGTGGGGTTGGCCCCTGGGGGGGTGGGGGGGGTAGGCTGAAGCTTCCACTTCCGGAATTTGAGGCTGCCTTTCTGAAAGGAGGAGTGGGTGGGCTTGGGCTGGGAGAAGGCCGGGAGGAGGGAAAGGCGCCGCAGGAGGTGTAAGCAGAGGTCCCTGGGGGAGCACGGAGAGCAGCAGCGGCCTGGCGGGGGGGGGGGGGGGGGGGGGGGGGGGCGTCCCCATGAGTGGAGTCCTCGGTGAAAAAGTGGCTGAGCCTTCCCCGGGGCGGAGGGTGAGCCTGCCCCACCCGAAGGGCGGCAGGGGGAGGGCAGGGGTCACGGAGCGGGGGCGGAGGACGGGGAGGCGGGCCCTCCCCCCGCAGCGCGGCGGCCCCCTCTGGCCGGGCCCGCACGCGTCCTCGCGGGTGCAGGCGGGAAGCTGGGGCCGCGGGTGGCGCGCGTCAGGCGCGTAAGGCTGTGCTGGGAGCTGTTTCAGTGTGGCCGCCTGCGGGTGGGGGGCCGGGGTGAGGGTGGGGGGCCGCGGAAAGCCGCGCGCGTCATTATCTGGCCCCGGCCCGGCCCTCCGCGACCCCCGCCCGGCCTTTGGTTGCTGCGCGCTGAGTCTGGAGTTTCCCTCTGGGTCCTTTCTTGGGGCCCCCCGGGGAGGGGGTGCCATCAGGCTGGGCCCGCGCCTGCGGGGCGCCCCGGGGCGGGGGCCCCGCGGGCCGGGCCTGGTGCGAGGGGGAGGAGCTCTCCTTGCGGGACAGGGACTGGCTCCGGGGGGACGCGTTGGGGTGGCGCGGCGCGGCGGAGGCGGAGGAGCCTGGACTGCGCGGGGCGGGGGGCCTGGTGCCGGCTGGGGCTCTCCCGGGACCCGGACCCCGGCCGGGGGGCTGTTTGGGGCGGAGGTCAGCAGTCACGGCCGACCCTGGAGGCTTCTGCAGCTGGAGCCTGCGGGACGGAGCGGGGCGCGGGGGTGGGGGGCGGGCAGAAGGCAAGAGAAAAGAGGAGGGCAAAGAAACAAAAAAGGAGAGACATTTTCAGAATCACTGAGCCCTGGAGCCCTGCGTCTTCGGAGCTGGGTTGAGGCTGTGGAGACCACGGCACAGGTGGGTAAACTAGGGCTGGTGCTCCATCCTCCAGGGCAGAACCTCTAGGGGCCACACACTCCCGGGCTGCTACCTGAGAGCCTGCTGCAGGCTTTCTTGGACCTGTTTCATCTTTAAAATTCTCATGGATTTTACATTCTACTCTATCACATACCCATGTTTACATTGGTATGAATAACGTTTTCTCCCAATGACTCTGGTCTTTATCCTTTGGCTTCAAATGCCTCCTGGCACACCAGAGGCTGTGTGTGAGCCTCACTGGCCCCCATTAACCTTTCCCAAGCTTGGCCTCCCTGGCGACCTCTCTAGACATGTGCACTGTAGCCACTCCCTTGAGCCCAGTGACAGGGGTGGAACCTGAGTCAGAAGAGGTGCTTAGTTGGGGAAGTGGTGAAGAGGAGGGGTGGCCAACGGTCCCTCCTGCATCCTCACTAGGCCCTGATCTTGGCTCTGGGGAAGCTCCAGCCGGTGAGGCCTTCTGTGGTCACCCTCTGCCCACCCTAGGGCTGGCAGCCGTTTCTCACCTGCTGGTGATGGCTGTGTCGGAGGCGGGGGCAGCGCCATGGGGTCTGCCCGTGGACTGCTGCTGGGCCGCGGCGGGCGTGGGCATGCGGATGCTGATAGGGCGGGGAATCCGGCTCCGGGTGGCGGCAGCCCTCCCGACCTTCCTGGGGGCAGCGGGCTCCGAGGCAGGAGTGTCCTCCTCGGAGCCCGTGCCCGAGAGCGTCTCTGAGGCCCGGCGCTGCTCCTCGCTGGAGGAGGACGAGGCCCCAGAAGCCAGCCGCAACAGCAGGCGGCCCTGCCTCTTCTCCATCACCAGCCTCGCCAGGTCCTGCTGTGGCCGGGCCCTCTTGCCCCACCGCTCTCTGGCCGACAGGGAGCCGGAGGGTTCCGAGCCCGTGTCCTCCTCGGACAGCAGGACAGGGATCCGGCTCCTGGGGCGGGGGCCTGCCATGGCGTGGCGGCTGGGGGAGATGGTGGCCAGTTTCTCGGGGCCTGGCTCCAGCGGGGACGCTGGGGCCGGCCCGTTGGCAAGGGCTGGGCCATTGAGCAGTGAGTCTGTGGCCACCTCCAAGGGGGTGTCCCCGGGGGGGCCAGTCGGAGCACAGCTCTCCAGCCCTGCCTGGGCGATGCCATTCTCCAGGGGCACGGAGTCCCCCTCCTCCACAGCTCTCCCATCAGAGGGCGCCTCCAGGCCCAGCTCACCCCCAGCGCCTAGCTCCTCAGGCCGGGAGGCTTGTCCACCGGAAGACATGACATTGAGGTGGGTTTTCTCTGCAATGTGCACAAAGGTCCTCTCAACTTTGGTGAAGGGTGAGGAGGTGACTGCCACTCCTCCTGCCCCTGTGGTCACTGCCCCAGCCCCTTGCCCTGTCCCGGGTCCAGGGGGCTTGGGCTCAGACTTGAGGACAGAGGACAGGGTACCCGGCTCAGACACGTCCAGCTGGCTGCCAGTGGGCTGGGGCCGCTCTTGCTGAGGAGTGAGGGCAGCCAGAGTGCCCAGGTCAGGGTCGGGGGCCAGGTCGGCAGTGACAGGCGACTTCTTCATGTCGCCAGGGGAGACGAGCACCAGCGTTTTGGAGCCCTCCTCGGGCTCCAGGTCCCCGTCGGCCATGGAGGCCCGGCCCCTGGACTCCTTCTGGTCGTCAGCCAGCAGCGTGGATGGGGCACCCTCCTGACTCCGGTCCGTGCTCCTTTCACTCCCGTCACTGCTGGAGCTGCTTCGAGGCCCCAGCACCTCCCCTAGAGCCACTGCCTCCTCCCCCTCCTCCCCTTCCTCCTCCTCCCCCTCCCCCTCCTCCTCTCCCTCCTCTTCCTCTTCCTCCTCCTCCTCCTCCTCCTCCTCGTCTTCCTCCTCCTCCTCTTCCTCCTCTTCCTCCTCCTCTTCTTCTTCCTCCTCTTCCTCTTCCTCCTTCCCGTTAGCTTGAGGCTGAACCGTTGCCAGTGGGACCTGGGGGGTGGTGAGCAGCATGTGGGAGAAGCCCACCCTCCGGACCCTGTTGAGCAACCGAGCCCGTTCTCGGTAATCAGAGAGGTCTTTCTTGAAGTCCTGGTAGGGCAGGCTCAGAGGCACAGCTCGCGGGAGACCATTGACCTCAAACGGGGGCGCCACGGAGAACACCTGCAAGGGGCACACACAGGGACTCGCTGACGTCACCCGCCCTACGGGGCCGAACGGCATGGGGACTGCACCCACAAGCCGGGAGGCCCATGTGCCCAGGCGCATGCACCAGAGTGTGTGCTCTGTGAGGATAGGCACTGGGTCTGTTTTGTCCATTGCTCTATCCCCCAAGGCCTAGAAGGGTCCCTGGCACGTAGTGAGTGCTCAGGAAATCTCTGAGGAAGGAGTGTGTGCACGCTCCAGTTCCCCTGAGGTTTCTCTGTCTCCTGTCTCCCATCTCCTTCCCATCTCCCTCCCTCTCCTCCCCAGAGCCAGCTCTATCTAGTTCAGTCAATAGAAGACAATGACAGCTGCAAGGTGTCAGAACCACCATGTAGATCAACTCTCCCTTTGACAGAGGAGGAAACCAGGCCCAAAGAGGAGCAGCAAGCATCCGGGTCAGGACACGGCTTCTCTGCAGCCAGGGAGCTGGCCACCAGGGCCATCAGAGCTTA